AAAAAAAGTACTAACTAGCAAATATTTTTTATTAGCTCGCAATTTTCTTCAAAACTACTTCAATGAGGAAAAAAATAAAAATTTGGAATATCTATACATGAGGGGCTAATTGATCGGATCTTGAGTTCGGCAACGTTAGAGTCTAAATAACACGGGGAATCCCCGCGGGAGTTGACCAGAGTCGCAGGGTTGCGTTTAGTGGCCACACTACACTGTTCAAAAATTTTCGTCTGAATTTTCCGTGCCAGATGCCGAATATTTTTATCGTGTTCAAGTTCCACTTCAATTTCAGGAAATCTTGATATTGAAAAATCAAATATTCCGTTGATTTTTTGTTCAAATGATCGGGAAATCAATAAAATACTAGATTTTTCAGATCAATTATTCTGTAAAAATTCTGAAAAATCCAGAAAATTCAGGGAAAAATTGAAAATTGATGTCATTTTGTTTATGAATATTCATGTTCCACTGAAAATTCAATCAAATTGTGAAATTTCCATTTCACTCGCACTGAAAACTCATGAATTTCCGTGAATTCTTCTTAAAACTTCAAATTTCATGACCATTTTTTCCCTAAATCCGATTCAATGTCACTCTCATGAGATCTACTATAATATCTTCCATGAAATTTCAAAACAATTCTAACAGTGTAGGGTCAACAAAGTGGACAATTACGATTCATTTATTCGTGTTTCATAGAACGGTATTCAATTCTCTGTTGTTTGCTAGGCGGGCTTCATGAAAATTCGACGCAAGACGATTGTACTTATGAAAACCACCTTACTTTCTCCATTCTTTCCGGATATCCGCCATGTTCGACCTCTCATTTTCTATTCGAGATATTCCTCGTACTTTTTTTTTTAACTACCTTTTTTAGTTTTATTGTGGGAAACAAAAGCGGCGGGTAATAAATCGTTCGGTTTTGTCATTTTTTTCATCGTTTAGGGAGAGCAGGGGCTTGAACTCAGCCTGTAGTGTTGAAAGGGGGACCGGAATTGGACCAGCGCAGACGTTCTTGTCACCGGAAACACCACCACCACCATCCTGCGCTTCCGCTACGAGCTACAGGCGTCTTGATGATCGCCCCAGTCGAGAGTTGCACGAGAGAATTCAGGAAATCACTGTTCAAAGGTAACAATTCGATTTAATGCACTGTGAAAAAAAAAAAAATTTTATAGACAACACTGTTTTAGTAATAATTTTTAGAAAATTGACATTCAGTTTGACTTAGGAACGGGGGGGAGGGGCAATCCACTGATCCAAAATGAGCCTAAATGACTTTGAAGGTGACGAGAAGTATTTTTTTAAACCTCCATAGAGCATAAAATTTTGATAAATCTATTAGTTGATTACTATTAAAAATTATTATCTATAAAAAAAAATCATTGACATTTTCTTCCAAATTTATTGCTTTTAGAAATATTTCCGAGATAGTCTGCATATTTAATCATTTATTTGTCTATTTAAAGAAAAAGATTCATTTCTAAACTTAAATTAATCCCACATGACGATAATTAACATGTAAAAGAATGTCATCTAAACGGGAGTAATTTGTCGAGGAGAATCCCCACAACAGATGAAGTACCAAAGAAAAAATTTCGAGTGAACTAGAATCCCCAGAATAGAAAAAAAATCCAGTCGTGAATAAATAAAACTCAGGCAAAAATATTCAATCTAAAAATACGATCAATTATCCCGTGCCACAAGCCCTCCAACTTTCAAGAAATTACTCAGTTCAAAGGTATAAATCAGCGACAATGTTTTTCCATTTCGTTTGAAATCCATCTTCCCTTGACATTTGTACAAGAATACAGAGAAAAAAAATCATCACAAAAAAAAAGCCAAAACAGTCTGTGCCACTGTAGAAAAAATGGTGAAAGAAGAAAAAATAAGTTGAAGAGAAAATATTCTTTGATGTCGAGCCAACAATAGATTTTCTGGGTCGAGTGTCCGTTGTAGGAGAAAAAGTTCCTGATATTGCAGTGAGTCCACCGGGCCTGCCTCAAGTGACAGTCGAGAAGTCACGTTTCAACCACTCCTGCGCTTGTACATACGATCCCCCTACCCCTCACAGCCATCTCTTTTGCTCGCTGCTTGGTTTACCACTCAATTCTGATTTTATCTTCATACAACTCCTGTACCAATCGATCAGCAAATGCAAACGTGCTCGAGTGCTCATGAGGAATTGAATGCAATGTATATTTACAGAGAAGACAGATAAGAGAACGAATATGAAAATTTTTAGTTTCTCAACTAGCAGGCGATGATTATTTTCTTCTGTAATGATTTTTAGTTTGGTTTCGCAAATTGAATGATTTTGAATCCGAAAATTCACACAAAATTTTCATCTCCTAAAAATCTCTCTCAGTACATTGAATAAATGGATCATCATAACCGCAGAGATAAGAAAACTGTAAATTCAGTAGCGAAGTGGTCAAACGGTTTAAGTCGATTCTGCCTATTGGCCAGCTTTCAATGAATATCTCGGAATCCAAAGGAGATAGAAAATTTTTTCTCATAGCCTTTTTAGTAGCACTCAATTCGCTCTACAAAAAAGGTTATTGTGAACATTTCGCTATGTCCCTTAAATTCGAAAATATTTCTGAAAAACTCAACTAAAGACTAAGTTGACTTGAAACAATTGACCACTTCGCTACTGAATTACAACTAAAAGTCGAACATTCAGCTCAATATTAGTTTTGATTCAATATATTATATATAAAATTAGCACAAATATAGTCATCGTATCAACCAGCCAACTATTCATCACAAATAAATCTTGAACACAATATTCATTGAGTCAATTAAAGACAGAAATATACAGAATAAAGTTGTCGCAATTAGAACATTGAAAATTATTAATGTACCCCGTGTCATTATAGTACCAATATTATATAAAATTATTGCATCGAAAATCGAGACGTAGAATATTAAAATTCATCATTCCCCACACTGATGGACTGATTCATTTATTCCAAACGAGATTCGCTAACTGTTAACGAATGAATATTTGGTGAGACCGAATAGACCACCACCACACAATATTCATTGAGTCAATTAAAGACAGAAATATACAGAATAAAGTTGTCGCAATTAGAATATTGAAAATTATTAATATAACCCGTGTCATTATAGTACCAATATTATATAAAATTATTGCATCGAAAATCGAGACGTAGAATATTAAAATTCATCATTCCCCACACTGATGGACTGATTCATTTATTCCAAACGAGATTCGCTAACTGTTAACGAATGAATATTTGGTGAGACCGAATAGACCACCACCACACAATATTCATTGAGTCAATTAAAGACAGAAATATACAGAATAAAGTTGTCGCAATTAGAATATTGAAAATTATTAATATAACCCGTGTCATTATAGTACCAATATTATATAAAATTATTGCATCGAAAATCGAGACGTAGAATATTAAAATTCATCATTCCCCACACTGATGGACTGATTCATTTATTCCAAACGAGATTCGCTAACTGTTAACGAATGAATATTTGGTGAGACCGAATAGACTCTCGTCTCCAACCAAATCCATTCGTTAACAATAACTGATCCTTTCTATCAGTGCACGTGGTTTTACTAGTAATAACTAGTGCCTGTATTATAAGCCTGTCTTTGATTACTCAAACGAGATTAATATAAATAATAAGAATACATCTTTTCGTTTTATCAGTCCACAGTTGCTCTTCTCCGCAATCCACAACAATACTGAGTACCCAATTGTTTTAATTTAGTTTTATACTTGCAAGTTTCATGACAATGAACCGAGACACAGTCAGTTCCGTGGTCAGGGAGCACGAGGCCGATCTGACTCTCTAGCACCGTCTCCAACCCACCTCTTGGCCTTTGGTCTATTTTTCATATTTCGACAGATTGTCATCATCTCCTAATCCATTTAATAAATTTTTACCTGATGTCGATAATTTGAATATGTCCACTACACTTCTTAATCATTGAGTTCTTACAGTGATTTACTCCTTCAACTGGTCAACAAGTGATGAATCTCTTGTAAATAAAGAAAATTTACCCTACAAATCAAAAATAGACCAGCCCCGTAGATTCTTCTCACACGTATTTACACAAACTATCAACACTCCCCCACGATGTTCCTATTTTTCGACAACACGGAATCCCTCTTTGATGATCAGAGAGCTTTGGGGGCATACGTGACGTAATGTCCTATGATTCTCAATGAAGAAACCACTGCGCACGTGTCGTGGAATAATGAAGATTGATGAGGCACACTGGGGACGCTGGGGATTCCCTGGGGTTTGACGGGAACCGAAAAATCTGTAAAATATCTCTCATATTGAAGATATCAATATTATTACCATTAATATTGGCAAATTTGTGAGATTTTTCAATATTTTCAAACATTAAACGCCGATAACAAAAAGTAATTGCATAATGAACACTCGTAAACATGAAAAAAAGTGCTGTAGGGGAGAATGGGGAAAATGAAACAGCGGGGCAAAATGAAGCATACACTGAGAGAAAAACAAACATGTTGTCAAACAAGTCTTGTTTGGGCCAACAAAATCGCTAGTTGAAAATTGCCAAAAAAGAATTTTATTGGGACTTGCTCTGAACTTTAGATTTTGCTGTTTCATTTTCGTTTCAATTAATCCATTGACAAAATCTTCTCCCTTCAAAACTTCTCAATAATTTTCCAGTCTGCTAAATGGAAAATTATTATTCTCATCAGTACTACCAAGAATAAAAACAGTTGATAACCAAAAGTTGACAAAAAAAAAATTTAATAAAACNCACGCCCCCACCCCCAACCCTCACGGGCTTTTCGCAATAAAAAATAGTATACGCGCTTCGGCGTCGAGTGCTGAATTCAACGCTGGTGGAGTACAGGCGCACGAGGCACGTGAGTCGGAGACGAGGCCGCCGAAGGCGGGACCGGGGACCGGGCTTGGTTTTTCACTTGAATTTTATAAAACAGTCGTTTTTCGACTGTTGCATTTTGCCGCACTCTCCCCTAGATCGTTTCTCCTATTATTATGATTATTTTATTATTATTTTTCATGACGATTTTATCATTTACGATCTCCTAAACTGTCTAGCACAGCTGGTTAGAATTTTTTTCAATAGCTGAGGAATATTATAAACCTTATCTATAAAAATATATATAAACATCGTACGAAAACCCCGTTTTCTGGGGATATACTTTTCCTCAAGAAGTTCTTAAGGGTTGATTGACCTTCCGAACCATTTGAATCTCAATTCCGAATCTCCTAACGGGTCGGTTGACCCTCAGAACCATTTGACCCTCAACTAGAAACAGAAAAAAATTTCCGAATTCCGTTAAATAGTCATTTTTCCTGGTGTTCCATTCTGCCTCGCTCTCTCCCATACATATTTTTCATGGCAATGAAACCAATAAAATCCACAAGACAAACGATCCGAAACAGCGAAAAAGCGTTCGAGGAGAAAAAGAGAATCGTCAGCAGTAAAATTTCTCTCTTCTTCTTTTTCCAGATGTCGAGTGCGTCTTTTAAGCATCGAGATGGAAGGAACGTTTGGCCGGGTTTACCGAGGCAGTTACCACGAGGAGGGTGCAACAACACCCCGAGAAGTTCTGGTGAAAACCGCAGCAGAGCATGCCTCTCAATCCCAGGTGAGTAATTTCGCTGATACCTAAAACTTTTTTCCCTCCTTCCGAAGCAATTTTCCCCCCTCGATACTGACACATCGAATTTTATCTCACTAGGTCGCCCTGCTCCTCCGGGAGGGCTTGGCACTCTACGGATTGAGTCATCCAGCTCTACTTCCAGTGCTGGGTGTCTCAATTGAGGACAGGAGTGCACCATTTTTACTCTATCCACACACTGGATATAGGAACATGAAGAGGTTTTTGCTGAGGTGCAAACAGAGCAGTGAGGGCCCACCGAGGGCTCTAACCACTCAGGAAGTAGTTGAGATGGCTCTTCAAGCTGCCAAGGGTGTACAATATCTACACAGAAAGCGACTCGTACACCGGGATTTAGCGGCGAGAAATTGCGTGTAAGTTGAGACATTTTTTCACTTCAACTTTTTCCATTTCAGTTTTGAAGGGCAGCTATTTCGTGGGAAATTCACACTCGAGATTTAGTCCTTTAGAGACGTAAAATGTGGGTGTAAAGGGGAGAAACGAGAGGAGTTTCACGGAAATATTTCGTGATACATTGCAAGACATTTTTTGTTGCGTTACATGATGAAATACGTAAACTTATTTTTTTTTATTGGAAAATTTGTGGAAAATCGAGAAGTTCATTTCATAATGCAAACGTTTTAATCTCTATATTTTATGCGAAACTCCAGTTATTCTTAATAATGCCCTTTTATTATGCATTTTTTCCTGTCAGATTCGATATTCCTTTTTTTAGTCAATTGTTTATAATCATTCTCAGTGCAAAACGCAATGCGACCGGTGACAATCATATGTCCCAATTTCACTACATTGGATTCAGATTCTCCTATCTTTAACGTCAAAAATGTGAAATAATCTCATAATTCTAACTATTAATTCTAATCAACTTTGTTCGAAGAAAACCTTTAGTAAACGCAATATTAAGAACGTTGAATCATTATATTTTCCTCTGAGCTAAATGATTTGAATAATTATGGTTATTCACGTTTCATAGAACGGTATTCTATTCTCTTTAGTTTGTTAGGCGGTTTTCATGAAAATTCGACGCAAGACATTGTACTCATGAAAACCGCTTTACTTTCTTCATTCGTTCGAGGCATACGCCCAGATCAAAGATATTGCCAATATTTTTTGTTAAGAACGAATTTACAATCCCCTCTCTACCCTCGAAAAATTTATTTTCTCATAAGACTCCGTGTTATTTTGGCAGTTTTAAATTAATTATTATGGATAATACTCAACTGCCGATTGAGCACCACCTCAATCCGAATATTTCTATTGATATCAACTTTCATTTAATAACTCAATCAATTTATTGTTTATCTAATTTGAAATATCGAGTCACAGCTTCTTTTTATTTATATCAGAAATTTAGTATTTGGATATCAATATTATTTGTTCCAAGTGAAAAAAAAGATCGTCATTTTCACTAGATTGAATTCAGATTCTCCTATCGTTAAAGTCAAAAGTGCGAGATAATCTCATAATTCTAGCTATTAATTCTAATCATTAACAAAGTTGAGTAATTCTATTTTTCCCTGACCCAAATGATTTTAAGAATTACGATTCATTTATTCACGTTTCATAGAATGGTATTCAATTCTCTTTTGTTTGTTAGGCGGTTGTACTTACTTTTTTCAGAAAGGATTTTTGTAGCTCTTATTTCGTTATACCAAACGGTCCTCATGAAAATCCCACTGTCGCGCTAAAACCTACCGCAAAAATTGGGTTTATCAGGCATAATTTAATTCATTGCATTGTATAATAACGGGAGAAAGCTTCCATGAATGCGTTCACTGTGGCGTGATTGAAATCAAAAAATTAAATTGAATCCCTCCCATTCTTCTCAAATATTCGTTCCACTCTTTTTGCTCTTCTGCTTCCGGTTGGATTATTTTCCCTTGAAAATCGCGTGAATTCATTGCAATCACGTACTCGTATAATCCAATTATCCCGTCCCATTCATTGAAATTGAATAAAATCAATGGAACAATCTAATAGAATTTAATTGGACATTTAATCGTTTCATGAATTGAAGTCAATTAAAGTGATTTTTTTTCGTTTTATTTCTGTTTTAGTGTTGACGATGACCTGAGAGTACAGATCACTGACAATGCCCTGGCGAGAGATCTCTTTCCGCAAGACTATCATTGCCTCGGCGATAACGAGAACCGTCCAATAAAGTGGCTGGCTATTGAGAGTCTTCTCAGTAAAACCTTCACCACAACCTCTGATGTGGTGAGTTAACAAAGAACACAAAATCTCTATCCATAAATCAATTTTAATCTTCGAAGAAAGGGGGAATGAGAATGATGTGTTTATGACCATTCATCAGATTTTTTTTGACACTTGATTGGAAATGAAAATGTTATAGTCATTGTAAGCAATGATTGAATAGATTGAAGGGAGTATGAGAAATATTTGGTGGAGAATTTTGGCGATTTTTGTTTTCAACTTCTTTGGAAAGATGAGTGAGAATGTGATTCATCATCTAATTTATATTTTTTGTGATATTTCATATCAATGAGTGAAAAAATAAGATAAAGCAAATAAAGATAACTGCTATGGATAAGAGACAGAGAATAAAAAAAGCAGTGGACGGCGACCATATGACAGTGCGAATGTCGCTGAGTGATGTCGGATTTTTGTCGCCATCAATACATTCAGTAGCGAAGTGGTAAAACGATTCGGCTTATCTCTCAGTTGAGTTTTTGAGGAATATTTCCGAATCTAATGGAGATATTCATTGAAAACTAGTCAATAGTCAACAATGCTTTATACCGTTTTACCACTTCGCTACTATATCGATGGCGGGTTTCCGAATGGTCTGAAATATTGGAAAAGTTTATTGCTTTACAACACTAACTACACTCCACTTTCCGTACAAGATACTTTCATATAAGATACTAGGCCTGAATCAGTGCCAGTGATACCCCCATTTTCTGGCTTGAATGTTTTTTGTTTCGTATTCTCCGTCCGAGATACTCGACAAAAGGGTTGACTAGAATTCAGTGAGAATGGAGTTGAGATATTGCAGAAATTACTAGAATTTAATTGCACACCAATCGAATTTCAAAATGAGCGACCGCTCGTTACATTTAATAAAAAAAATTAAACACATCAGTTATAATACTTGATAAAATATCTACTTTTCTCCGTCTGTTGAGTCGTGCAGTAGCACGATGTGTTATACGTCTATTTCTTGGATGGATAGATAGACAAAACAAAACAAAATTTAACCCAATTTTCATGAAAACCAAAATCCTAATAAAAGTCTCCATTTTGTCTCGTTCGTCCCTATCAATACACTAACATTCCGTGTTTTTAAATAGTTATTTTGAAAGATAACAATACCTTCTAATCAAACATTCGTATTTCACATCAGGAATCGCACTCAAATGATCATGAAAAATGGAAAGCATCTAGTATCTTATACGAAGAATATCATATCAAAATATTTTTCCCTCTGAGCGCAAGTAAAATGGGGGATACGTAATCCTCCGAATTCCTATTCGAAGCAAGAATGACCAAAATTCATCTATCTACCAAATTCTCAACGAAGAAAAAAATTATCCCCGTTTATTACAAAAAAAAACGTGACTTCAATCGAACAATAGACTAAAATAAATCGTAAAAATATCTTGAATTTGGTTTCCATATGTTTTCAGTGGGCCTTTGGTGTTCTCCTCTGGGAATTGACAACTCTCGCTCAACAACCATACGTAGAAGTAGATCCATTTGAGATGGCCTCTTACCTCAGAAATGGTTACAGACTCGCACAACCGATAAACTGTCCAGACGAGTTGTTTGCTGTCATGGCGTATTGTTGGGCCATGTCACCAGACGAGAGGCCAACATTCTCTCAGCTCATTGTCTGCCTCCAAGAGTTTCACACACAGTTAACTAGATACGTTTGAATTGAATAAGCTTTACAGAGTAAACTGCAGCAAGCGTTGAAAACTCAATTTTCCCCCCTTGATGCATAGAAGACTGGTTGTGTTCGAATTTATCTCCAGACATTATTTGTTTTCACCTTAAAGATTCTGTTGTAAATAGTCGAATTGGTACTTATTGAGATGTATTTTTAACTCCTCAGAGAGATGATATCACTGTTACTTTGATTTTAAGAATGAAATGAGGATTTCCATTGTTTTTTAAACGTTAGATTGTAATTATAAAGGACAGAATGTTTGACATATTCAAAATTAGAGGCTAAAGTATCAAGTAAAGCTTTGCAATTGAGATTACAAAGTTATCACTGCCGAGCATATCCAAATACCAAGTATTACAATTAAATACTGCTGAGTAAAGCGAAATGTTAATGCCATGAACAGAGTTCAGATGATCTGAACAGATTAGATGATGTGAAGAATTATGGAATCTTTGACATGATTGTGATAGAGTGATATACATTAATAATTCGCTTGCCACAATGTTTGTAGGTATCCAATGTGCCAATTTTTTGTATTTTTGTACATAGTTTACATAGCAAGGTTGTTTAACCAAAACCCATCAAAGATTGTATATAGTGAACAGATATATATATAAATGTATACGCTATATTGAAATAAAATGAATGGATTTCAATGTGATAATAAGTGTTTATTCATTTTCTATAATACATTCCTTCACTTTTTCCATAACAAACTAGAATGAGCGCTATGAATTCTCACTTGCATTCATCGTGTCACGTACGTATATTTCTGATTTATTCCGTTTACGGAATTCGGTTGTCTTGCTAATCCAGAGACACCTCAAACCCACAGTTGGTTACGAACGTTATGTCGAATCAATTCTGTGTTTACTTTTATACATATTTCTAACGTCTTGAGAAAATACTGTGATTAGTTTGTTAAATCGCATTGGTGAGTGAATTGAACCTTCCCACACCACCTTCAATTCCTGCAAAAAGATGTTTGCCTGAAATTTTTTCAGCTACAGAAACAGTGTAATGAACTTCCTTGAAAACTATAATTTTCTTGAGATAAGAAATTATTTGTTTGATTAATTGTTATGAATTGAATGATGCTTCCAACCACGTTTCCTCTTATTGTTGTCTCACTCCCCTTGAATTAATTCAGTTTATCAAGTATAGTTCAATTATAAACCTCTCATTACGATAATTATTGAAGTAAAATGGAGAGCTAATCGCAGGAGCTGTGTCTCGTTTTCATTATTTTCATGATAATGACAGAGTTTAGGAAAAAATGTTGAAAGACATTTTGTCTGAAATTTTCTCAGCTACAAAAAAGTCTGATGAATTTCATCGGAAATGATAATTTTCTCGAGGTGAATAATTATTTGATTAGCGAACCAATATAGCGAAATAGCGAGTAGATTAATTTAGGCCCGGTTGCACCAAGTCCTGTTATCCAAATAAACCCCAGGGTAAAATTTATCCTCGGGGTCTATTATATCATAGGGGTCATGATTTTTCAATATTTAACCCGAAAAATGATTTTTTATTTATCCTGTAGCCCCATTTGAATTAGGGCTGATTTAACCCTGGGATTAAATTTTATTTTTTTGTTCCTGTGATAAATTTAAGATACTCTCCCGGGTACAATAATCCATCGAACATCCAAATTTACTTTTTTTCTAATCTGACGTTTTCTTTACCCGGAGCTGGTGCAACCGGGCCTTATACTATTTTATTTTATTTTTTTCCCTTTCTCTCTTCACAATTAGATTAATTTAATTTTATCCATTCTCATTCTTATTATATATATTTTTTTTCCTTAATTCACAAGTTACAACATTGAATCGACAGGAATTATGTTAAAGATCAATGAAAAGTGTTTTTTTTGTGATCAAAACAAACACAAAACAAAAGTCATTCGAAATCTCATTTGGGTTATAGGAAAATCTCTCCATGTATTCCTGAAAATTTTCAAAATGCATGTTTTTCTTCGTATGGTAATAGGATATCGCTACTCCTCATTTCTATGGCCGGATTCCAGTTATTATTATTATGAGAAGGGAGTGAAAAACGAATCAAAGAGTGATAATCGGCTAGAAAATGGATTTTTTTAATTCTTCTTTTATATCAGCCGGAACTTCGAATCTCTTTCTTTCTTCCTCTGAGTATTAGAGGATTATTTATATTCAGTGAGAAGAAATTCAAAAAATGCAAAAAAATGGGCAGGAAGACCTAAAAAATTAATTTTTCAATGTCTCTGGAAAGTTTTAAAATCCATGTATTATTTCGAATACTCGAAGAATACCCATAAATTCGCTTTCTATTCTTGTCTATTCACGGAATGATAAAAATAAATGACAGAAATTGAGGATTGGAGACTAAAAATTGTATCGGAATATTATTATGTAATTAATTGTTATGAATTAAATGATGCTTCCAACCACGTTTCCTCTCATTGTCTCACTCCCCTCGAATTAATTCAGTTTACCAAGTACATTTCCACCATAAACCTCTCATCACGAGAATCACATAATTATAAATATCTCCCCATCAAATATTTTTTATTCTTCAAAACGTATTTAATTCACTACCAGGCGAGCCGAAAACAGCCTTGGGGGGAAGACATAAATCTCCGATTTTTGCATTTTTTTCTCCTCTACCTCCCAGTGTTATTTCCGTCTCACCAGAATACAAGTGCGTATAAAATCATGTTTACGAAGAAAAAAGGTGAAATTATTTTAAACTCTCCCCCCCAATGAATTCTAGGAAATAATTCGTCAAACTATGAGATAAGTCATGTCCCAGTTGACTCTTATAATTTTATACACATTTTCGAAGGGAATCTTGTCTTGAAGAAATACCCCGAGAATTAATGATGATTCTGCTTGACGTCTTGTTTAAAATGACAAACGATCTCGGCTTCAAGACCTTCACTCCCTCATTCGCAATTCACGATCCAGTAGGCTCCAACGAAATCCACTAATCACTCTTACTCTTTTGTCTCAGAAAACTTTAAAAGGAAAAACAGAATGTGATCGATCGTGGTGTGGGATGATTTATGGCGGAAACGCATCCCCCTCATTTTCCGGTTGATTCGTGTGCCATGTACATCGATATTGTGCACTTGGTCTTGTCTATTTTTTCGATAGTCTGCGTCCGGATCTCGTAATTGTATCCTGGGTATTGCCCTTCTCCCCTTCAGGGCGATTAGTCACGGTACATTAGTTGCTACATTTCTTTCATCAATGCCTCTAAATACGAGACGCTTGGGAAACGGGATGTGGGGGATGAGGACTAACCGACGTGTGAAAAGAAATCCGATGACGGATAAACAGGTAATTACCCGCTAAAATTTAGTGGAGGGTGGAGTCAGTGCGCTTTGGGTAACATATTCATTGGAGTATTTAGTTGTCCATCGATTAAGCATTTTCAAGTACTTGGATCTTTTTCTTCGTTGAAATCTTTGTAAGTAGTTGTGCTGAAATAGTAATATATATTCCAGCTGAGCCGTTTAGCGTCACGCAGGAAAAAATTTAGTAGAAAAACTTAATACTTTCATCAATGCTTCTAAATACGAGACACCAAACGCGACCCTGCGATTGGTCACCTCCGCTGGGATTCCCCGCCGTGTTATTTAGGTTTTAGCGTTGCCGAGTTCACTCTACACTGCCCGGGTGCGTTTAGCGAGTTTCCGGCAACGCCGCGTCATGGGCAATTTCATTTAACATGGGAAAAAATAATTCATCTGTCCGAAATGATTTGTTTTCTTTAGGAATTTTGGGAAATATATTGTTCTAAAAACTACTACAATTTTTCAGACACTTCAATTGACAAAGTCAAATTTTTTTTGAATTTTTCCGGTTAGCCAGTCAATTGTAATTAAAGAAAAACGACGCGCAGCAGGCTGACCAATCTAGGGTTAAGGGGAAACTGCTATGAGTTAAAAGCCGCCGGATATTGGAATTAGATTTCTCATACATTACAGATCGATATATGCCTAAAAACTAATAATTAGTGCAAACAAATTAATTGTCTATTGTTCGTTTACCCTGCAGGCGCTTAAAATGCTAAAAGTAGTCCAGGGCGTCCAATTTTCTAACTACAGTTTTTTTTCAAAATCGTAAATTCTCGTCTTCAACAAAAGAATGGGTATTCCATTGAATAAAAATGAAAAAGTTTCCAGGGGAAAATTTTTCCGGGGATTTTTCTTCCGGGTACTTTTTACGGGGAAAAAAATCCGGGCACCGAGTATAAATTTTCCTAATTTATAATTTTTCTTTAATCGTTATTTTCCATCGCTTCGACCCGGTTAGGGTATACTGCGATGATGATCAAGACTTTAAATGGTTATATCGCACCATTCTACCCGGCCGGGATTTGAACTCGGAATCTTTCGCATGTGAGGCAACAAACTTACGCACTGCGCCAAGCCACCGGGCCAATTTTTTCCTAATTTATGCATGAAATAAGCCTAATCCGAGAATTTTCTTCCATCACACTGTTCGAAAGAGACATAACGACCGGGGAAAACTTTCTGACTCGTGTGATTGCAATTCTCGGCTTCGCCCCCCTCTGCAACCCTCACACTCGTCTGAAAACTTTTTTCTGACCTTATGATGAAAATCTACATTTCTGTGTAATAAATTCCAAAATTTCTTCTTTGAAAAGCCACGCGCAGAGTACACAACATTTCATGGAAGGATTGACTACTCAAACTCTCCCTCACTTTTTCAATTTGACGGTAACAAGGACTGATAAGTATGATATTGATGTGAGGGTATACTGCAATACAAATTGAATACACACGGAGAGAAATTTTTGATAAAAATTATCCTACCGTTGTATAAAAGTCTATCATGAGTCATCGCTTCTTCATTTCTATCCCGAAATTTAGTAAAAATCAATATATGATGATCAAATTTTAGTTTACGTTAGAGAAATTTTATCCTGATAAAAATAAAAATTACCGTGCCGGTAGGGTAAAATTTACCAACCGCTCTAGAATTTTCGTTGTTATCTACATAAAAATTATTGGACGGGAAGGGTAAAATTTATTATGCGTTAGGATAAAATTTCTCTAACGTAGAATAAAATTTGATCATCATATATTAATTTTTACTAAATTTCGGGACAGAAATGAGGAAACGATGACTCATGATACATCTTTATAGAACGGTAGGGTAATTTTTATCCAAAATTTCTCTCCGTGCAGCATATATAGTATTTCGTTATTGAATTCAAATACTCAATCGAAATTAATCACAAATTTACCTCTCTGAAGAACACCACGGAAAATACATAAAATTTACCCGCAGTAAATTTGAGCGGAACTCTTGTCTGGCGAATGACAAACATCAAGCTTCGCGTAGTTTTAGGGTCTTTTGTGATCCATTCAGCAGAGTAGGTAATATCGCCAAGAGCATCACTTCTTTGTTGACACATTTCTGCGAACCAGCAGTACAGAAATAGGGTTGGAAATACCAGAAATATGTAGAATGTGTTCAACATGATAACTCCATAGTCTCTGGTGACAACCGCCTAAGCAACGAAAAACATTAAAATATGATTTTTGCTTTCAAACGGAAGCATTGTATTTGTCAAATCCGAAATTTCCTATTTTTCGTTACAGGACAACTAATTCAGTACCGAAGCGGTAAATGAAGTTAAGTCGAT